GCTGAAGAAGAATTGAAAAATTTGTCGTCTCTGTAGCGAGGTGGTTGCGGCCTCAAAGTACCGCGAGACGCTCTCGGCCTATCTTAGCTCCCGCATGCAAACTATTGCCCCGAACCTTACCACGATGGTGGGCGAGCAGATTGGCGCCCGGCTGATTCAAAAGGCAGGCTCACTCCTGTCGCTGGCAAAGTACCCCTCTTCCACGGTGCAGATACTCGGCGCCGAGAAGGCTCTCTTTCGCGCCTTAAAGCAGCGGCAGGCCACACCCAAGTACGGCATCTTGTACAACGCCCAGGTTGTGGCGAAGGCTGCTGCCCCAAATAAAGGGACAATGTCCCGTGTGCTGGCAGCGAAAACTTCCCTTAGTGCTCGCATTGACTCATTTGGTGAAGGCGACAACGCCCCGGCACTGGAGTACCGCAGCAAAGTGGAGGAACGACTACGCCAGTTTGAGGAGGGTGTAACATACGGGCACTCCGGTAACGCACGCGGCGGCGGTGCGAGGCTGCAGCAGAAGCGTGCGCATCCGAACGGTGGAGATAACAGTAACCACGGCGGGGGTGGCGCACCGTACAAGCGGGCACGCCTAAACGATGGCGGCTTCCAACAGCGAAAATAACATGAAACCATCCGCGCCCGTCATAACCGTCACGGTAATAAGAAAGGGAAAAAAAAAAAAAAAGAAAGAAATAAAAAGAGCGTAATGGAAAAGAAATTAACAAACGCATAAGAAGGGGTTGTGAAAAACCGAAAACGACGACCGGACAAAAAAAAAGGAAAAGAAGGAAAGTAAGAAATTAAGTAAGAAACAGGGAAAATGAAAAACACGCATGACATTCCAAGAATGGGAGGGAGAGAGTACGGCTGGTGGCTGTCTGAGTGTTTTTTAAGCCCCCCTGCATGCACGTCTATTCCCGTTGTTGTTTTCTGTTTTTCCCTTCTCCTCTTCTTTTGCTTTGTCGTCCCGCGCGCAATAAACTCCAAGAAGGAAAAAAAAAAAAAAAAGGGTGGGGAAGGTGGTGATCATTGCCCTTCTCTTGAGTTTTTTTTTTTTTTTTTTTGTTTACAATAAAAACTTGAATGATGAGAAGAAACGAAAGGGCAACGAAGAGTCCAACCCAAAATAATTGCATGCATACATGACGCGTATACCCACATTCGCGTGGGTGGGTGAGAAGAGAGTGAGAAAGCCGGCCTTGGAGAGAAAGAGAACACTGCCTCTGTGTGTGTGTGTTTGTGCGGGTGGGGGGAAATGGAAGGAATGCGACGACGGGAGGGCGATGTCGTTGCAACATTGCCCGGGAGAATGTACATTTCTCCAACTGTCACCTCTTTTTTCTTTTTGTTGAGATGCAAACACACACACACGCAAGAAAACGAGAAGAAGGCAACTCCGCAGCGCATTTTCTTCTTTTACGCACTTCTGTTTTCTCACTTTTATGCCCAACTCACCTATCATATATTTTATTCGGCAATTGTGCATAAATGGACCGACGTGCAATGCGGCTTGTGGTTTTCTTTTCTTTTGTTGCTTTTTTTTTTTTTTTTTGAGTCATTTGTGTTTTCTTGTTTTCCTCTTTTCCTTTGGATCCATTCCTGTGCTTCTTGTACGATGAGAACTCGAGGGGCGTGTGAGAGGACTGCCTCTGGCAGGGGAGCGGCCGTTTGGGTTAGGGCTGAAAAAGGAGAAAGCGGAGGACTTTCGCGGTTTCTGCAGAGGGTCCAGAAACTGTTGCCTTTGGAAGAAGAAGAAGAGAAAGAGGAAGAGTTCGGATGCTGCGTTCTTCGTCCCTCTTGCGGGATGTCAGCTTTGCCGGGATGCAGATGCCGCGCAAATACGTCTCCATGGGCGGGTGGTGTGGCCCCGCGCTTATTTTGGGCAAGCTGGGCCTGCGCACCGAGGCGTATCCGTTTGACTTTAGTCGTTGCACGCTAGATGGCATTTTGCACTTCATCCGTGAGGGTTTTGCGCACGGCTTTTATCCGCCCGGTCTACCGCCTTATCGCCCGGAATGTGTTGGTATATGGGTGCTCTACCGCGGCCAGCACACCGCCTTTGCCCACTTTGACCTGAACGATCCGAAGATTCAGGCGCAGTTCTCCCGCAAGATGAAACGATGGGACAAATTAATCGACGCACCAGAGATGCCGGTGACATTCTTCCGCACAATATCGGCACGTGACCCCATGGAGGAAATACGGCTTATTCCGGAGGTGGAAGCGGCCCTCGTGGCACGTAATCCAACGCTTGACTTCCGTATCGTGGTGGTTGCACACGACCAGGGTCTCTTTGCTCGAAGTGTTGAGCTCACCCCACTTTCGCCGCGTGTCTCTCTCTGGTCTCTGGCATATACACGCGATGCCAGTTTTACATTGTTTGACCGCTCGCAACAGGCCTACGCCGACATTGTACTACACAGTCTGGAGGAGGAGAACTGGCCACTAGACCCAGCGCGGATGCCAACACCAGTGGGTCTGCGAGACACGGAAGCGGACTACGAGCGACGTATATTATACCGAGCTGGTGGGGCTGATGTTTCATTTGATTCACTTAGAGCCGATGCGTTTCCATGGCGCAGCCATGACAACATTGCCCTGATTGATGGTGTGGCGAGTGTGGGAGGCACATGCGTGGGAATTGGTAGTACACGATGTACGGACGGTCGCTGTGCCTTTTGTGGTAGCACCGATTATCACAAGGCCGGTCGTCCCTTCCGCACAGATCGGCCCTTCACCGCGGAGGAAGACCAACTGATATTAGTCCACCTTTATCGGATTCTCACCGGCGGCGACAAAATTGAGGCGGTGGAAGAACTTGCGCACAAAATGAATCGCGGTGCCTTTGAAGTCATCTGTCGTATTCAGTTCCTCACGAATTCTAGTGTGAAGATTATGGACTACGCCTGGGAGCACGAGGGGGAATAAACATGTGACGGAGTGACGGGCTCATTGCGTGCATGCGTATATACAATTCTCTTTTCATTTTCTTTCCTTCTCTCTCTCTGTGTGTGTTTGTCTGTCACTTCGGGGGGAAATTATTATTATTTTTTTTTTTGTGTGTGTGTGCCGTTCTTTTCTACAGGAGGAGGAGCGAATTGGGAGTCGTAAAATAAAAAGGGGAAAAGTTGCGTGTGTGTCTTCAACAATATAAACGACGAATCGGGCCGATGTCGTACCCCGTTGTTGTCATCGACAATGGCACTGGGTACACCAAGATGGGCTACGCTGGGAACGAGGAGCCAACGTACATTATCCCCTCCCTCTACGCCGACAATGAGACGGTGAGGCGTCGCTCAAACGACGTTTTTGACGATCTTGACTTTTACATTGGTGAAGAGGCCGCCGCGCGTGCGAGCTCATGCACGCTATCGTACCCTATCAAGCATGGCATTGTAGAGGACTGGGACAAGATGGAACGCATTTGGCAGCACTGCATCTACAAGTACCTCCGTGTGGAGCCGGAGGAGCACGGCTTTATTCTCACAGAACCACCGGCAAACCCACCGGAGAATCGTGAGTACACGGCAGAGGTAATGTTTGAAACATTTGGTGTGAAGCAACTGCATATTGCTGTGCAAGGAGCCCTTGCATTACGGGCGTCGTGGACATCCGGGAAGGCAAAAGAACTCGGTGTTGCCGGAAAAGACACCGGCCTCGTGATTGACTCGGGCGCAGGCGTAACACACGTCATACCTATCGTGGACGGTTTTGTGCTGAACCAAGCCATTCAACACATCCCGCTTGCGGGTCGCGATATTACAAACTTTATCCTTGAGCGACTGCGGGAACGAGGTGAGCCGGTGCCACCAGATGATGCGTTATTGCTGGCGCAGCGCATCAAGGAGCAGTACTGTTATATAGCTCGCGACATTGCCAGAGAGTTTGACACGTATGACCGGAATCTTCCTGACCACATTACCAAACATTGTGACGTGAACAGCAAGACAGGGCAGCCGTATGCAGTAGATGTTGGCTACGAAAAGTTCTTGGGCCCCGAGGTGTTTTTTCATCCGGAGATATTTAGCGGCGAATGGACCATGCCATTGCCGGAGGTGGTTGACAGGGCAGTGTGGTCGTGCCCCATTGACTGCCGACGCCCGCTCTACCGAAACATTGTGCTTTCAGGCGGAACAACAATGTTCCCAAAGTTTGACAAACGCCTGCAGAAGGATCTACGCGTCATTGTTGACCGACGTGCAAAGAAAAACATGGAGGCCTCCAAAGACCCTAATCGGCAGATCACATACGATGTCAACGTTGTGTCGCACGACCGACAACGTTACGCTGTGTGGTACGGCGGTAGCATGCTGGGGTCGAGCCCAGAGTTCAGTACACTGGCCAAGACGAAGGAACAATACGAGGAGTATGGCCCGTATATTTGCCGGCAGAACAATATGTTTCACTCCGTCTTTGACTAATTTTGTTGTTCTTTACGCTTTATCCTTTGTGTGTGTATGTGTAAGGGTTTGAAGAGAAATTGTCTGCCAAGTTGTCCACGAAAGAAAAACGAAACAAAAGAATTATATATAAGGACCTTTCTCCCATCCGATTCTCCGTGTGGTTTTCGGTGTGTTTGCCTCTACCGGTAAATCTTGCGTGTATGTGTGTGTGTAAATTTCTCTCTATGGACCATTGCATTTTTCTTTTGGCTGCTCTCACGGCCTTGATTCCCGGCATCCGAAAGTTGAGGTGAGATGCGACGGAAGTAAACAGAGAGAGAGAGATAAAAAAAAAAAAAGGTAGCTGCATTATTTGAGCATATTTTTATTTATTGGCCATTAAAAAGACTGAAGGGAACGTCTGTGTCGGTCACGTTCTGTGCGCTCTTTTCGCGCCATGAAGCATCCGCTGCGTATGCCGCATTGGAGGAGTCTAAACTTTTTGAGCACGTGCTCCCCCCATTTTGTGTTAGCCACCGGCAAAACGCATCGGCTTTTTTGCCGCCCAAGACGGAGCTGTCTGTGACGCTTCACCGTCTGCGAGATGCGGATGAGGCACGGCGACGTGTTCCTCCACCTCTGTTGCACGTGTGTCGAGGCCTCGAAACAGCTGCGATGGAGTTTGCGCATCGTACTTTGCTGCATGCCTCCATACCGGAAGTTGCCCGCAATGAATTCCTCAACGACATTGGGCGGCGCTCTGTCTTCCGCATCTGGCGTTACAGCCCGGGCACCGGCTGTCGGCCGCACTATGATCCTGGACTTTGCACCGCTCTCCTTCAAGCGTCCGCACCAGGTTTGGAGTTGAATCTGCAGGAAGAGTTGCCGTCAAAACCAGAGCGCCAGGGTGACTACAGATATGATGAGACGGAGGTAGAAGACAGGATAAATGCGCTTCCCGGGTGGGAAGCACCCAGTCCGCCCTCCGAGGAGGACGACACTTTGGTCCTCCGTAGTAATATGGCCCGTGTCCTTTCAAATTATGCTCTCCCTCCTGTTCTGCACCGTGTGCGATCGGATTGGGCCCAGAGGGGTGAGAGGGTGCGGTACAGTCTTGTGGTCGAGCTGAGGCCGAGTCAACCTCGTCGCTGGTACAACATGAATCAAGAGTTGAAAGGAGGCTGATGTGTGGGAGGAGGAAAGGGAAAAGAATATATATATATATATTGGCAATAACAATAACAAATGAACGAGAATTTCCCCTGCAGTAAATAGGCAAATAGGGTGTTAGGGAGTGTGGAGAACAAAATAACTGGCATTCGCGGTGGTGAAGCATTAAAGTGTATTATTATTATTTGCTGTTTCTTCTTATTTTGTTTTTATTGTTGCTGTTCTTCCTAAAGAGGGAAAAAGGGGGGCTTTAATTCACTCTGGTTCCGTTTCCCATTGTTGATGCAGATACGAGGGAACACTAGATACCGTGTTTCCCATGATTCATGTTGCTTCCGTGTTTATCCAGGCGATTAATGCGGCCACTCTGGAAGATGTGGAGCGTGCGGCGGAGTGGGTGCTTTGCGAACTTCAACACCCCCACAACGAGGCCGACGGGGTTGCGGGTCGTGAACCCAAAGAGAGCAAGCCGAGCCCTGATAATACAGCGGTATCGGCACCCACACTGGACGGTGTTGCGGCCCTCTATGCTGAGGCGGTGCGCTGTCAATGTGATGGAAAGACATTTCGTGAGGCACTCGGACCACTTCACCTACAATATCAGAAGGCTATTGTTCTTTCGGATGCATTTGATGCCGCGCTAGAAGGTCTTTATCGCCTTGGCATTATGGGAGGAATGCGGCAATCATTTCTACCTCAGTTAACCGGTGTCTCATGGTCTTTGTCACATGAATTAGGCGATCGCACCGAGACGCCCATCACTCCTTCAGCGCCTGTGTTTGATTTTGTGTTTACTGGAAATAGCTGTGCAACTCGGCTTCCTACCAAAGAGGGGAACGAGGTGCTGGCCAGAGTTGCGTGCACTTCCGGTCAGGCTGAAGATCTGCTGGAAACTTTACGTGACATGTTGGCTGAGGCGGAGCGTCTTACGCGTCAGAAATGAAACAACGGAAAAAGAAAAAGAAATCCGAAATGAGCACAAAATAAAGAAAGGGCGTTTGTGTGTCTACTGTTTGATGCTGTTGCTTTTTTTTTTTTTTTTTTTTTTTGCGGCGTGGAAACTTGAAGGATGGAATAAGGAGAAGGAGTCTTCTCTTTAGGTGTTTGGTGTCACCGTTGCTGGGTTTCAGGCGGACCCATTTTTATTGTTTTTTCTGTGGATTCCTTTCTTTTTCTTTTTTTTTCTATGTGCGGGCTGCCCGTTCAATCCCGTCTGCCTTTCTTTCCCCCTCTTTCTTTGCATGTTTGAACTTCTTCGCAGGGTAGAGCCGCCAGCATGCCGTGGGCAAAGCCTCAGACCACGAGGGCAACTCCTGTGCCGGATGCTCGTCCTTCGCAGCGAGGCAAACCGCGACATCTGCCCTCAGCGACGCCAACACCGACCCTGCCTCGGTGGCTGAATCCCGCGGGCGCGGAGAAACGATGTGTCGCATCCTCTCAGAAGCTTGAGCCAGAGACCGACGCCACCCTGCATTTTGCACAGCGGGGGCTGGAAGCGACAGCACCAATCCCAAAGTTTGATTGGATGCCCAATGTGAACGAATCCAGCA